TATAATGATAATCCGCCCAGACACCAGCTCATCTGCACCTATGGAAAAATACGCGAGTGGTAAATCAGCAGACCGTCAACCCCCTCGTCCAAGTTCGATCCCTAGTACCTCCATTTTTGTAAACTCATTCACCTCTAACGTATGGCGAACTCCTCTTCGCTCCACCATTGCTTGCTAGGCTCATCTTCAATGGACTATCGAGAGCTTCTGTGACCTTCTCCTCAACTTCGACTTCCTAACAAGAGAGAAATATCCTAAAGCTATTCTTATAATCACTTACCTCTTTAGGCTTCCACATAGTCATCAAAGATACTCCAACGATGACCAAGAACATACCTTAAGCAACCGCGATTTGAAGGAAATGTGGTATGAAAGTATATTACCAATTATCTTCGGAGTGCCAGGGACTAATCCGAGTAATATCCAGTTTAACAATAACACAACGATTGAGTTCGACGCTGCTATCACATTCACAACCGCTGTGGACGGATAAATTAACGCACGATTAAGCGCCAACACTCCCACGGCTTGTGATGCACCCGACACTATTGGCCAGATATACCTAAGTCAAAAAATAGATGTCCGTCCCGACCACATATAGAGGAGGTGGGGAATATCCAAGGTTCCCTCATGTAAGATACGAATGAGGTTCCCTCATGTAAGATACAAATGAGGTTCCCTCATGTAAGATACAAATGAGGTTCCCTCATGTAAGATACAAATGAGGTTCCCTCATGTAAGATACAAATGAGGTTCCCTCATGTAAGATACAAATGAGGTTCCCTCATGTAAGATACAAATGAGGTTCCCTCATGTAAGATACAAATGAGGTTCCCTCATGTAAGATACAAATGAGGTTCCCTCATGTAAGATACAAATGAGGTTCCCTCATGTAAGATACAAATGAGGTTCCCTCATGTAAGATACAAATGAGGTTCCCTCATGTAAGATACAAATGAGGTTCCCTCATGTAAGATACAAATGAGGTTCCCTCATGTAAGATACAAATGAGGTTCCCTCATGTAAGATACAAATGAGGTTCCCTCATGTAAGATACAAATGAGGTTCCCTCATGTAAGATACAAATGAGGTTCCCTCATGTAAGATACAAATGAGGTTCCCTCATGTAAGATACAAATGAGGTTCCCTCATGTAAGATACAAATGAGGTTCCCTCATGTAAGACACATATGAGGTTACCTCATGTGGAATAAATGCGCTATACACCACTCACACGATATACACATAATGAACATATGCAAAATATCCAAGGTTCTCTCATGTAAGATACAAATGAGGTTCCCCCATTACATATCCTTCCACAGAGCGTGGTCCTGTACAACTAGTCCGCCGTTGAATCCCGAGTCTGCCAATGCAATCAACCCCATGAAGAACATTACTCCCATTCTTCCGATAAATCCAGACCTGATATATAAACAAAATAACAATAAACGCTTCGCTCCGCTAAGATTTATTATTATTACCATGCATCAATACCATCAATGCAGGAACTCCTAATGCAGACGATGCTAGCGGCGAAACTAAGCATGCCCAATATAGCGTATAAGAATCCGAGGGCCGAGCCGCCAACACCAGAATCAAATGAAGCTCCCATTACAACAAGACCTGAAGGTATTAATATCTTAGGTTCAAGCATGTAAGATTCAGAATAGGTCCAATTGAAGCTCACCTCCTAATACAACAAGAATTGCAACAGCTTGCGACCAAGTTAGCTTTTCGTTGTAGACGAAATGGCAGTAAACACCAATAACCTAAATAATGAACTAATGATTTCCCATCAGACACACTGTGTGAAAAATGTACTAATAATAATGACGGAGTTTCACCCTAGTGATATGAAAACCACTCATGAAGAATATATTTCACTTCACAAAAACATATACGTTTTGAAATTCACACGAAGTATGACGCCACTTCACGTTAAACGGGTGAAACTCCGATGAATTTTACGATTACATAACAATACTCAAACGAATACAATTTCACACGTTTTACGTGAAGTGGCGTGATACTCGGTGTGAAAGAAAAAGAAAAATAAATTTTCAAGTGAAATTTGAAATATGTTTTTCATATAGTTTTCATATTCACTAGAATGAAACTCCAATAATCAATAGTAGATATTGAAAAATATAATTACAGTTTACCAATTTCTCCGAAGATTCAACTGCAAAGGATGTTACGGTTTGGCAGTAGTGCAGTATGGAAAACACATATCACGACTACTGCATATCACCGCGAATATCGCGTTTTTCATAGAGTATTACGCCGCTTGACGTAAAATTAATAAAACTCTAATATTTCTAATAATACACATTTAAAAATACAACTTAACATAGTTATACTTAACCTCATTTTTCAAAATCTTATCCGATATAAAACTGCAATAGATGTCACGATTTTCTAATAATACTATACATATTATAATCCTCATTAAAAGATACAACTTATTATAAATTACAGTTTACCAAAATATCCGACGATATAACTGCAGTGAGAGGCCCAGATGCTGCTGGGTCGGTAGCAAAAGCCCACTTCATCATCAGTTGTGAAAGACCAACACACATACCTAAAATGAAAATACGCGAATAGTTGAGAAATACGAAATGAAGTTCACCTCCAACGAGTGTTAATAACTTTGCCCGTAACGAGATTTCCTTCAAGTGAGGTTGGGGGTAGATTTTTTCACCATCACATAGATAAACGTATTCTGATTGGCCAACCTCTGGGTCAGAATTGGGCCTGCTTTGAATCTTCCCCAGGGCATGCTCAAGATATTCCGCAGTGAAAAATACCCGGCCTATTTTGAACCTGACGAACCAAATGATTAGGCGTATCCGAGGTTCTACCATGAAAGATACAAAATAGGTTCTACCATGAAAGATACAAAATAGGTTCTACCACGAAAGATACAAAATAGGTTCTACCATGAAAGATACAAAATAGGTTCTACCATGAAAGATACAAAATAGGTTCTACCATGAAAGATACAAAATAGGTTCTACCATGAAAGATACAAAATAGGTTCTACCATGAAAGATACAAAATAGGTTCTACCATGAAAGATACAAAATAGGTTCTACCATGAAAGATACAAAATAGGTTCTACCATGAAAGATACAAAATAGGTTCTACCATAAAAGATACAAAGTAGGTTCGAAACTTACCAGAAGTAAATTCCAGTTAAGACTCCTATGAGCCCCGAGGTAAACCAAATCCAACCAATAACAGCCCAAGGATCAATACCTCCAACATTCGTATATGATATGAGGAAATTAGTCAAACCAAAGGTGACGTTGGAGATGACCGACCAACCCACACAATAGGGAGATACTTTCACCATCCTTAGGAATAATAACAAATTCTGATGAAAAACCGTAAAATCTTTTATAGTAAGCGTAAAGCTGATACCCGCCTAGCACGAATAGACGATTCACACAACGACTAAATTAGTTAACTCGTCTTAATAGTTACACCATCATTAGAAGTAATAATAAATTCTGATGAAAAAACCGTAAAATCTCTTGAATTAGCATCAAGCTGAAATCTGCGTTCTATGTCTAGCCCGAATAGACACGTCACACAACGCCTTTTGAGAAACCAAGTTGGATCACTCGTATTCATAAACTTTTTTTTGATGAGAGGATTCCCCTACTATACCATGAGAAACCGGATATACATAAGTACCACCGAAAAGATATAATTATCAAGAGCAATTATCGGCAGTAGTCTTAGAGCAGAAGAACGTGATTGCTGTATCATGTATTGCTCGCTATTAAGGACCGTTGCAATCAAACAGCAATTATAATCGTACTAAATGAGTGTTTAACAGTATTTTCAACAGATTCATCGTCATCATCATTCACGACGACGATTCAATCTATAACATTTACAACATGCAAAGTATGACGTATTCAACTGGGCGCGGGCGGCTCCATTCACACTGGAGTTGTTCAATAAACAGATTTCGAAACTCAGAATCGCTTCATAGACGTATAATCAGATGCTAGAACCGATTCAATTACCATTCACGTTAAATGTAAGGTTGCTAAGCTCGTGTTGTTACAGTGTGCCGCGACTAGTACTCAAGAGGGGAAGAGTAAGGGTAAAGGTTCACACAGCAGGTGAATCCATGAACATTCCATATTCGAGCACGCTTAAGGGAGGGCAAGTGAACTAAGGTATTGGTCGAAAGAAACAGGTATAATGCTATTGGAATTAACCCCATGGGTGCAAGCTTGTGCAGTTCCATAATAATGATAATATTCAGCGATCATAACGATCGAAGTTGTTGGAAACACGGGAAGATATGGGGCTTCTTTAGTCATCGGTGATGCTCAAACGTAATTCAAATTACCATCGACTTCGTGGCGCAATGGAAGCGCGTCGGTTTCCGGAGCCGAAGGTTGCGGGTTCAAGTCCCGCCGGGGTTATTTAGTAAGTACATTAGATGCATTCATTGCATAACCGTGTTCTGTTATATGCACACAATTGAGTTGATATTGATTATATCTTCTTATGAAGTGTCTCCACCTCCAACACTATTTGACGTAGCGGAGCGGTGAATGGCCGCAGGGAACTTATACACGGTATTATCGGGTTGTCGCTTCGGTCGTTATTGTAGATTTACTTTCAGTAGGTATTCTCTTTCACATAGGAGTTTCACCACCCTAGTGATATGTGAAAAATATATTTCACGACTACTGCACATCAATGCGAATATCGAGCTTACGTGAAGCGGGTAAAATTCCATTGCATTTTCTTGTGTAAATACAAAAAAAATTCTTTTGTAAATTTCATTTTTTCGGTGCTTCCTGTACTCGCCAATGTATCATCTGCTATCGCATAGAATTGAGGTTTCTATTCTATCACTGCATCCCTATGAGGAAATTTCGCGAAATTCTCATTGGTTTCTGTACATTTCTGTGGGCAGAATTGGAGGTCTTCCTGGCAAATTTTGATGGTGTTGTGTAGCTCACAAAGAAGGAGATCAATGCGAAGACTTGAAAGCTCACGTAACGGTTTTGGAAATATATTATGAAGCCTTTTCTGGAGGATAGATCTTGTACAGTTTCGGAGTATAGTTTTTTACATGTTGCAACCGTTTTCGAGAGATGTTCGTATATATGCACTTGATGGTTGGAAGATTTGCTTCGTTGATGATGAGTGAAATCGACAAGCTTCCTCCAACTCCACCTGACGAGGAAGTCGGCAAATTAATGAGGATCTTCGTGAAGACTACGGAGGGGCTACGGAGGTGTCGAAGTGAAATAGAAATCGATAGGGGGACGAAACGGAGCAAGGGGGCCGATAACGGTAGTATTAAATCTGATCGAAATATATCTATTCCGAAGATTTGGAGTAAAGTTAAGAAGGTTGTTGTAATAGTTTGAAATCAATCGTGAATATGATTATCGTCAGATCTCACGCGAGGTTGGATTTGCTGTAAAAGTAGTGATTTCATGAGAAATATATTATTCGACATTTTTGTTTGGTACCTTGTGGAGTTTCATTGCTAGTGTTAACTGCGGAGTAGCACGTTGAGTGGACTAGGACGATGCGCATTTTTAGATTGTATATGTCAGTGTGGAGGGGACTATGCACATGGTCATCAACTTTTCGTGTTGGGGTCCCCAGTGTGGTAAAATATGGATATGGCCAACCACATGTGTTGGTTTATAATATTAATTATATACTATTACAATATTAATATTATTATAATAATATTATATAATATTAATAATACTATTATTTTACAATATTAAGAGTCTGAGTAAATTTTCGATAATCCTGGCTAGTTTATGTAGACTACGCATATATCCTCCCAATTCATATATAAACTCCCATGCTAGGTGAGGAAGGTATTGAGCTTAGCTGGGGAAAGCGAACATTTTTTGCAGCACTGGTTGGGGACAATATGAAAACCAACACTAAATTTCTTATTATGAAAATTTTCAGCTCAGCTGAGGAAAGCGAACATGTTTTCGTCCAACACTGATATATGACGGTGCTCCACTTCATTCGTTTATTCGACGTCCATGAGCATACTCCGTAAGACTCATGTTCTTGTCAGCGTTGGCATACGCCCAACAGGTGACGTTAAAAGCGCTCGCCCGAGATGGAGTATCGTGTTGCTTGCGGAAGGGGAATGTGAGGATGATTGATGACGGTGAGTAATGATAGGATATTTTAGATGACTTTTATTCGAATAGAGAATGGGTGAGTGCGGTTGTGTTTATTGAGTTTTCATCGACCTCGTGGCGCAATGGAAGCGCGTCGGTTTCCGGAGCCGAAGGTTGCGGGTTCAAGTCCCGCCGGGGTTATTTTTTTCGTCGTTTTAATCGGAATTTTCTAAAGCCTCTTTCATCTTTTCTCTGCAGGGTATTCCACATGGGCGACTGAAAGTCCCTCAGATGATGTGAACCTCGACACTCAGGCGTATTGGGAATCGATGAGGACCACTGGTGAGATCAGACTCCCAACTCCTACACTCCGAGCGTTTAGATGAATGAGTAAACTCTGGCGAATGTTCTCAGGAACCTCCTCCTCTTCCTTATCGCAAGAAACTCCCGGAGAGATCTCATGGGAGGATGTTGATGCGAGTCTACGATCGACCTTTCGAGGGGTTGACTTGGCTGAGCTGCATCGAGGAGAGCCCGCTGGAGAAGACGATATTCATACCAATAATGTGGGTCTATCTTCCCTATTGCTGTTATTGATCTTAAAAATCTCTTTCCTGTTATGCGACGTGAAGCTTCTCGTCGTAACGGATGAATGCTATCATCACTCATAGTGTCATTCGAGGCTGTTTCGACTCGGTCCCTTTTTCCATGGAATTCGCTCATTTATGGTAGGTGCTTTGGCACAGCACAGACGATACGCCCGACGACGGAGTTGGACATAGAATCGACGGTAACGAACTGGGGATTTATATGCTGAATCGCTTCGCTCCGCTCAGAATTCATCGCTGATGGGGAAGACCTGGAGAGTCTGAGCAATCGGTTCACTGACACGACGGCTAAATATGGTCTGTGGAAGGATGCTGAAGTTGAACAGTAAGAATATAAGTTTTGATAGAAATGATGGGAAGCGTTCCGGTGGAATACCTTGAAACAGTGTGAGGATATATGTTTCGGTATGCGCAGTTGAGCTACAGATTTTACTCGCTATATTAGTGGAGTTTCACAACCCTTTTAACGTGAAGTGGCGTAATACTCTTTGTGAATTGTGACGAGACGTATATGTTTCTGCGACCGATAACACAATTATTTTTTCGGGAAGTATGTTTTTTACTGGTGTTTTTCATACCACGGGTGAAACTCCATTGTTGATTACTAACCGACCACAGATGTAGTTTGAAAATGCTCCCTCAACGTGCGGTCAAAACTCTAATATCAGGTGGAAAAATTAGAACTAGTAAATTGTTGTTTTTCATACTTCAAGTATTGTAAAAAAATCACAAAAAAAACACAAAAAAAATTACAAAAAGACACAAAAAATTGAAAAAAAACACAAAAAAATTGAAAAAATTGTCTTTCCCTGAAAAGTCTTTTCCTTTCACCACTTGTATAAACAGGAGTATCATCTGTGGAAAAAATGCTAGTGAAAACTATGTTCAACGACAACTGCATATCACCGCGAATATTTTTTTTCATATAGTAATACGTCACTTCACGTTAAACGGGTTGTGGAACTCTGTTGTATTTTCCTGAAAGCATCGTTCTCTCTTTTTAGCTCCTTCGCCCAGCAGTCTCCGCTAACCCCGGTGTTTTCAATTTCTGAAGATTACGCTGTCCCTCCGAATTTTCGAGGAAGACTCAAAACTGAAGTTGCGGAAAACTCGGCGGCGAGCAGAGATTCACAATCAGCCCGATTGAGTGTTGAAGAACCATATTTATGTCGGTGAGTATTTTTTGCGCACGCGGAAGATTTTGCGCGCGCGTGCGTATCTTTCGTTTGGTAGGTGTCCCTTGGAAATGAGGAATCAGCAGAGCCCCGAGGGGAGTTCTAATGAGTCGGAAAATCGAGCAACAAAAGTGAGAGGAAAAATAAAAAAATTTGGGTGGAAATTATTATTAGAGTTTGACTCTGTGAAAAGTCTGATGTTCGCGGTGATATGCAGTAGTCGTGAAATAAATTTTCCCAAAAATTTCATATTGTTATCAACACATGCATATTTCCACGATTTTTTTCCGTCTAGGTATTTTTCCAATGGTGTAGTCGTGAAAGGTGTGCGCCACCGCGAGTGAGGTGCCTCCGAGGAGGAGTTAAACCATATTGTTACGTCGAGGTAAGCGATAGTACGGCTGCTCCGCTCCGCCTGTTTTTTGATATTTGTTTTGTAATTTTCGCAGGTCTGGGGAATCAGTCGAGAATTTCGGGGAGATAAGCAGCTGCCGGCGGAGAACTTCATCGATCCGCCGAAGACTGAAATCGGCACTTTGGAAGGAGTGCGAGAAAAAGTTCTGTGAGTTATATCGCGCGCGCCCGATTGATCGATTTGCTACTAGTATATTATCAAATTCAACAAAGTTGTATAAGTATATATTCGGTTCATCTCGTCGGTTTGTAATCTTTTTTCTTATGAAGATGAGTTCAGTCGACGTCGGTTTTTCCTCAGCCACGTGTTGGGGTAGAGTCTGTGTCGCAGAAGCGCTCGCCCGATTGATCGATTTGCTAATACTGGATTAGATGAATATATAGTTATGCTAATTACGAGGGATGGATTTACTCCAACGAATTTGTATAGATGAAAATTCGATTGATCTTGTTGGTTTGGGGTTGATTCTTCCGAATGAGGATTTGACTTTGACAGTTTTGCCCTCAGGAGCGTCCTTGTTGGCAATCCACCGCAGAAGTTTGTACTCGAACATGTGCCCATGACGTGGGGCTCATGGAAAGAGAGTATCATATTTGCACTACCAACAGAGGAATCATGTACGATTAGAATTACCATAATCGATTAGAATGGCGAGCGCTTTTTACATCAGATGAGGTGCTGTTGAAAGCACTCGCGAGGTTGGGATATAACGAGGAACGAGTGGTCCGTGTGGAGCCCACCAGTAAGTGTTGGTGAAATCGTAGACTGCCTGGTTGGATGCAATAATTAATCACTTGAATTGAACTGCGGTGGCTCGATGCGATACTCGTCTTGTTATTGCTTTTGTGAAGGCTCTCAAGAGTTATCGCATTTCCAATACTGACGAATATTTCATTCGTGTTTCGTTCGATTTACGGTAATAGATTTCGTGTGTAATTTACCGTCATAGACTTCCTCTGTAGACTTCCGAAGTCTATTATACACGAAGTCTGACTTAGTGTATAATTCTGTCTTCATAAGGAGAGGCTCCGCATTTTGTGAATTCAATATTTTTTCATTACACAGTTCATCAGTGGGCAGTGGGCTCAAGTAGGAAATTATCACGAGAGAGAAATTTTGGAAAATACACTTTTATGAACTTTGACAGACCGTATTTTGGTTTCAATGCCCAACTCCGAATAGTTGACGCGAAACGTGAATTTCTTAAAATTCGTCAAAGAAAATATACGTTCGAAAACTGCTGGAAATGATGGAGTGTTTGATTTCAGGGGAGCTCCCGCCGGAGAGTGAAGAGAAAACGTCATTTGCATGGTCTCAGTCGACGTGGAATGGACAGCATGGGAAGAAGCATTGGAATCGACAAGATCCTCGAGAAAAACAGCAGAATAGACGGCCGCGGGAGTTGAACCTGGGTCGCGGGAAGCGAAGGGAACGGTCGAGAGAGCCGACCACTCTGCCATGTCTCCTGTGTAAAGAAGGACATGATAATGAGAATTGCCCGTAAGGATGCGCCCGCGTTTGTTCATGTGTATGATTTTGCTGTATGTAGTTACTTCCGACAATCTGTAATTGTTCGTTCTTCTTCTGAGGTCTTCAACGACACTAAATGGGGTAACCAACGTTGGCTCGATTCGATGTTGTCGAAAGCTGGTTATGGTGCCACTTTCAGAGTAAGTTGAATTCATATAGGATGATGCAGAGAAAAGAGATCACTCTTTGTAATTTCGTGGCGAGTGACAAATGATATTATTTGGAAGCTTCCGTCGACTTATTTTCAACACTGTAGGGGTGGTTCTGATATTGGAATCGTGTACTGGGTTGTCGTTCAACGGCTACGTTGGGTGTACACACGCGCCACAGAATTATATTTTTTTCTACTACCATTTTGTCTTATAGGAACTTTGAAATTATCACTGAATATTTTCCTCATGAGAAGATCAGGTTGTTTGGTGGGATGACTATGGAGGATCGTCGAAGGTCGCCGCTGTGGCTTGTCTGAATCATGCAAATGCGGAGAGAATGCGGCAACAGAAAAAGTTGGAGTTGCCCGATGATGTGAGTTGTTGTTGTTGTTGTTGTTGTTGTTGTTGTTGTTGTTGTTGCTGTTGTTGTTCTTGTTCTTGTTGCTGTTGTTGTTGTTGTTGTTGTTGTTGTTGTTGTTGTTGTTGGTGGTGTTTTTGTTGTTGTTGTTGTTGTTGTTGTTGTTGTTGTTGTTGGTGGTGGTGGTGTTTTTGTTGTTGTTGTTGTTGTTGTTGTTGTTGTTGTTGGTGGTGGTGGTGGTGGTGGTGGTGGTGGTGTTGTTGTTGTTGTTGTTGTTGTTGTTGTTGTTGTTGGTGGTGTTGTTGTTGTTGTTGTTGTTGTTGTTGTTGGTGGTGGTGGTGTTGTTGTTGTTGTTGTTTCCTCCAACTTGGAGGAATAAATGTTCGCTTTCCTCAGTTTAGTCCACGAGTT